ATTTTTTGGTGAAAATACACATAGCCAAAGATACACCATTTCAAAAATTTCTACACGCACAGTTCAGTGACATTGACTACGCTCTTCCAATTGTGCTGCTATTCTCACTTAAGATGAAGGCTTACAGAACAAAATAGTTTCTCATTTAACAGTTACTACAAATGTTGCCCTATGACAATGGTTAACAATCTCACAACACATCAACAATATCCTTACTCAACCTTGGGTTCCCTATCACCAGCTTCCTTGTCCCCTTCTGCCTTCTGGCCCTTGTCACTGGACTACTGTACCTCATTAGTCCCATTTGGTTTTACGGGGCTGTCCACTCCCAGGCTGAACAGTGAACCTCGGAGATGACTTCACCACTAAGCTAAAATGGTGTCTGGGGGCCATACTCTCGGGGTTTCTCCAGTCTCCTTTAGGCCAGTAAATCTGGTCTTTTTTTTGTGAGTTAGAATTATGTTCTACATCTTTCTCCAGCTCTGTCCAGAACCCTTTGTTGTGATCCTGGTCAGAGAGATATCCAGCTCTTGAGGAAGAAATGTGAGAAACACCCTGGTCTTCAAGCTGACACCTTTACAAATTATTTCCCAGGTAGGGAAGTCTTGGACACTCTCACTGTCAAATTTCTAATTCAAATTCAAATACATCAGACTTTTGTTGCCATTGTCCTCAGATCCTAGTTCTACCCATCCCTGGGGTCTCTAACCTTCCTCTTGGTGGACTTCTTCTCTGAGGGGAACCACCTTTCTCATTCTTCCCAGAATTACAGAGAATTATCTGGGGAAGACTCCAACCTGGACAAACATAAAAAATTCAAGCCTGAGGATGCTTAAGAGGGAAGGATTTGCCCACTCAGCTCTCTCTCTCTCAGTGTGTACCTCTCTTCTTAGACCATCGGGAATGACTGGACCTGGTGACCCATCCATGTTTTCATCCCCTTCTCAGTCTCTCTTGAAGTTTTTTTATTTTTATTTTTTAATCTCCTGCTACCATTCATATCTTTTTTGATTTATTCAGTGTCCTGAGCCAGTAAATTCTGCTTTTTCCTATTCCTGTGTGAATTAGATTTTCTCCCAAGTGAAGCTGGAATGAGTTCTGACACAGTCCCCTACCATGCTCAGAACTCAAACATGTCAGCTGGCATCCGCTCATTCTAGTGACAGTGGCCACTCTCATGCTTTACACTTCTCCCACAGCCTGATCTGTGAGGCCTTAGAGTTCTCCCTCAAACAGGTAAGCTGTTAGCGTCTACCTTGGGTGTCTGGCTGAGCTTCCCAACTATGTAACAGCAGCTAAGAAAGGCCCAAACAGTTCTGGAAGGGAAAGGCCTGTGCCTGGTAATGAAGGTATAAGTCACAAGGTCTGGAATGGACCATCAGAGCCACCAGGTCTGCCCCCACCATAAAATCCAGCGGCTTTTGTCCCCTTTGTGGTGATTCCCACACTTGAAATCCTGGCATCTAGGGCTATAGAAGTTGATAATTGTTGCAAGATCATAGAAGAGGCTCTGACTAGATTAAACCAAAAAAACCAGTTGCTGTCAAGTTGATTCCGACTCATGGTGAGCCCATATGTTTCAGAGTAGAACTGTGCTCCATAGGGTTTTCAATGGCTGTGACCACTTGGAAGTACACTGCCAGGGCTTTCTTCCAAAACTTCTTTCCATGGATTAGAATCACCAACCTTTCAGTCAGTAGCCGAGCACTTAACCGTTTCCACCACACAGGGGCTACTTGACTAGAGTAGAGGTAGCCCATTCCCCATGACCCCAGAGCCCTGCAGGCAGAGCTGACCACCTGCTTCAACTGGTAGAGTTTCTGAGCACCCAGAAGTTTCTGTTTTGCTCATCTGCTCTGTGGGTCTTCCTATCTGCTTAAGTCTAACCGATATTTTTCTTTCTCCCTCTATCTCTACACTATGTCTCTAACTATAAATCTGCCCCATTCTTAGTCTCGATCACTTGCTGGTTAGTAGGGCAGAGCAAGATGGGTCCAGACCCAAGGACTGAGGCTGTAGGTAGAGCCTGGCAGCTCCCTGTGCTGTGGTAAGACAGTCTATCATACTGAGTGGACCAGACACTGTGCTGAGTGCTAGGCAAATACTCCTAACAACAATTGTATAGGAGAAATCAATACCACACTTACAGCTGAGGTAACTGAAGCTCAGGAGGTTACGTGATTTTATTCCAACCCAGGCAAGTCTGACTTTAAAGTTCAACCTCTGAACCACCATGTGGTATTGACCCCAAGTGTCTTCTTCACAGTAGCCTCAGGGCTGAGCACAATACCTGGCATGTGGTAGGAACTCATGAAACAGTTTTTGTATGAGTAAATTGAATGGATGAACCAACAGAATGTAGTAAAAGGCAACAGAGAATGTGTGGAGTAGGCTTAGTGAATGAATCCTGGGTTAAGATCAGGTTAGGCGGGGGAGTGTCCACCACCAAACAGGTTCTAGGGATCAGCATGGGAGTAACCAGCTTTAGAAAAGCTCGATCTTATGTTTTGTAACTAACTCATTTTGTAAATTTGGGCTTGTCCCTTCTTTTAGGGCCTCTGTTTCTTCTGTTGTAAACTGGGGGTTTGGTCTAGATTAGGGGTCAGCAAATATTTTCTGTAGGGAGCCCTGGTGGCTCAGTGGTTAAGAGCTTGGCTGGTAACCAAAAGGTCGGCAGTTTGAATCCACCAGCCACACCTTGGAAACCCTATGGGGCAGTCTACTCTGTCCTATACGGTCGCTATGAGTTGGAATCAACTTGACGGCAACGGGTACAGGTTTAAACGTTTTCTGTAAGGGGCCATACGATAAATATTCTAGGCTTTGCAGTAAATATTTTAGGTCTCTGCCACAGCTACTTAACTCTTATGTTGTAGAGGGAAAGCAGCCATAGATATACATGAATGAGAAAGACTGTGTTCCAATAAAACTTCATTTACAAAAATAGGCAGGTAACTGGATTCGGTCCACAGGCTGTAGTTTGCTGACCCCTGGTCTAGATGACCACTGAGGTTCTTTTAATTCTAACAGTCTATGATTTTAAGAGCTAGAACCAATTGTGTCAAGGACAGAAATGACCATGCAATGTCATTATGGTGCCCATGGCAGACATTGCTAATTGATCACAGGGCTCTTAGCTGATGAGTTAGCCTTTATCAATAAACCACAGATAGAAATTTCTAGCTGTAGCAGTCTTCCTTTCACTCTTTACATTGTAAACATGTAGAAAACTCCAGATGACCCCTGAGTGTGGCATTGAGGAAGATAGAGAGGAACAGAGAGTGGGAAATGTGGGAGCTTCTCCCATCTTCATCCCTATGTGAGAACATATGTCAGAAAAAATCAACTTGCCCCCTACCAGGCACTCCAGGGTGAGAACCAAAATCCTGAACCCAAGCCAAACTGGTTGCCCTGAGAGTGATGTTACCCTTTGATAGAAGTCAGTTCCTCCAACTCTTTTCCTTGCTTGCCTTACTGGATTCCCCAGCCACGAGTGAAAGCACCTGATTCATAGTAGTTACCGCGTGCATACTAATTTTCTTTCTTTTATTTCTCTACCAAAATTTAAACCATTGAGTAACTTCTGCATAAAGCAGTCTGCTGCTGGTTGGCTTAGTTGGTGAATACTTTATAAATCAGTCCATGTAGAGTCATCACTGATGGAGCATATGTGACTCTTCAATGTCTATTTGAATTTCCACACACCTTCACTTTGAAGAATGGATGGGGGAAGTCCCAAGTATCAAGAGGCCACTTGAGGCAAGAACTTGGGCTTTGCAGTCAGACAGGTTTGGGCTGAATGATCACTTCTTGATAATTACAAGCAGTCTCCACAGACTGTGTAGCATGTGTTGTCATGCTGTTAGTTGCTGTGGAGTTGATTCTTACTCATGACAACCCATGTGTTACAGAGTAGAACTGATCTGTAAGGTTTTCTTGGCTGTTATCTTAACAGAAGCAGATCTCCAGGCCTTTTCTTCTGCTGTACTGCTGGGTAGGTTTGAACCGCCAACCTTTAGGTTAGCAGCCAAGCCCAAACTGTGCCACCAAGGGACCTGTGTAGCACATAGAATGGGTTTAATAAATGGCTGCCATAATTTTTGTTATCACATGAGGATTTGGGGGTAAGAAGCAGTCCTCTAATACTTCAAATCCCACAACATAGCTAGATGTTGATTACAGTGACTGCTCGGCTGCTTTGCCTTTCTATCTCAGATTCATTTCTACTCACTTCAGTGGTAATGGACTTGATCCATTTATTCTTTCCAGAGTGCTTTCACACCCTTAATCTCACATCCTCTGAGAAGAGCTTACTTGCTAGTATAATCCCATTTCACAGCTGAGAAAACTGAGCTCCAGAGAGATCTGCTGAGGGCAGAACTCTTCTTTCTGCATCTTTCGTTAAACAACTGGTCAGTGAGTGCTTTCTACGGATAAGCACTGGAATATATCGGTGTAAATATTTCGGGGAAATTATCTGTTGGCTGAGTGATACAGCATCTGATCTTTCAAGAAGGAGCTGGCCTTGAGCAATCCAGCAGAGAGTTTCACAGTCCTCGAGAGTGCAGGAGTGTGAGGTAGTGGCACATTGCACAAGACCTCAGCTGAAAGTTCACGTCTTTGGTTTCAGCCACAGGTGTAACTAGCACCTTTACAATTGACCTATTCTCCTCATTTCCTCCTATAAGATTATTGGACCTGGGCCCCCACAACGTTCAGGGTTCACATGGACACCTGGGAGGGCCTCCTTATCAGCCTGGTGACACATGCCTGGCCAACTTCTTCTCTGTCTTCCTACTCTCACTCTGTTGGCCTCATGGTCTTGCTTGGGATAGGAAAGAGCCATCATCTCCCTGGTGTCAGCATTGTTGTCTCTGGCTGAGTTTCCTGCCTGTGCAATAACAGCTGGGAGGAGCCCAGGAAATTCTGGCCACGCCCCCTGTTGAAGGTATAACGAGTGAGGTTTAGCGTTGGCCATCAGATTTACCTCTGATCTCACCATGAAGTCCAACGGCATCTTCCCTCTTGTGGTGCTTCTTGCCCTGGGAACTCTGGCACCTTGGACTGTGGAAGGTGTTGAAAAGAGTGAGTTAGAGTGATCCTGGCCCAATCTTGCCTACAGGGTCAGAGGTGGGGTATCTTGGTGGTGTGGGGGTGGCACCTTCTCAAGGCTCTGATCTCTCAGCTTAGTTCCAGATCTCCCTGAGGGTGGGATTCATACCCACCTGGGCACCAAGGTCTTTGCGAGGGCTTCTGAGCATCTGGAAAGGCTTCTTTTACTCAGCCATCTCATCAGCCCAGGTCTTGCCACCCCTCTGTGCTTATCCTTCCTTCCTTCCTTCTTTCTTTCCTTCCTTCCTCCCTCCCTCCTTCCCTCCTTCATTCCTTCCTCTCTCTCTCCCTCCACGCTTGTGTCCTTCCCTTTCTTACTATGTCTGTGACTCTCCAATCACCGGCCTTTGACTCTTTCTGGCTCTCTTTTGTTTTCTGTCTGTTTGAACCCTTTAGTCTCTGTCTTTAAAAAAAATTGTGTGCCTCTGCCTCTCAATCTCTAACTTGTGGGTTCTATTTATCTTTGTTTACTTCTGTATTCATTGGTCCTAGCCTTCCTCTACCTTTGTGTATCTTTGCCTTTCTCTGGGGCAGGAGGCCTTGGCTGGGAGCCCTATGCCTCTTTTCCTGGCTCCATGACTTCTCTGGGATATGTACCTGTCACTCTTCATGGAGGCCAGACAGGCATTTCCCTTTGGACTTTGTGGATGGCCACCTGGGTTGGACAGAACAGAACCAGTCTCCTCCTGATCCCTTGACCTTCTTTGCAGTGCCTTCGAAAGCTGGACGCTGCCCTCCTAGAACACCTGCCATGTGCCTTAGATATGAACCACCTGAGTGCAAGAGTGACTGGCAGTGTCCAGGGAAGAAGAAATGTTGCCCTGATATTTGTGGAATCAAATGCCTGGATCCTACTGCCATCTTGGTACCAGGTGAGGTGGTGGGAGAGCTGGGTGGAAACGAGGGATCCTGAAGACATAGCATCTAGGAGGAGGGGATTGGGTGATGGGGTCCTGCCAGGACTCATGCTTTACAAGAGCTTTTAAACCAAGTGTGTCAGCCAACCAGGGAGTCACACTGCCCAGGTGGGAGGTTTGCCACCTAGCCAGTGAGCCAGGCAGCCTGTGGGAGGTCAGTCTATCAGGCAGTCATCTGGCCATTCAGATGGGCAGGCCATTGGCAGGCACACATTCAGTCAGCACTGGACAGCTGGTTCCCTGTACTGATGGAGGTGAGGGCTTGATGTCAGAGGGGAGTCAGATTGTCCCGTCAGGATGCACGGGAAGGACGTGGTGGTGATGGAGATGGGGAGAGTGATTCATCCTGCTCAGGGCAGGGCAGGGACAGGGGAGTGATGTCTAGGATACAAGGCATCTGACTTGCAGCCTTACTCTCTCCAGATAACAAGAAGCCTGGGAAGTGCCCAGTGGTCTGTGGCCAATGTATGATGCTCAATCCCTCCAATTACTGTGAAAAGGATGGCGAGTGCAAGGGTGACCTCAAGTGCTGCAAGAGCATGTGTGGGAAAGTCTGTATGGCTCCTGTGAAAGGCAAGGCCCCTGCCTCAACCTTCTGGAGGTCCAGGCAGATGGCCAGGGGGAGACCTCTGCCTGACCCCCTGTGCTTCAATAGCACTGGTCCCCAGGCCTCAGGTCAAGGATATCCATAGCATCACCCATGGCTTTAATTCTATTCCAGCCTCTCCAAATGAGGGCCTTGGGCAAGCGACTCTGGGTCTCAGTTTGCTTATCTGTAAAATGGACAAAATGAAAGTGCTTTGTAAAGCACTGTGTCCATGAAGCACTTATTATCAAGGTTATTTCCAGCAAGTTCTCTGAGGTCAAAGCCCAAAGGACCAGTGGAATTTGAGGATGATCTAGCTCAGTGCTCTGATTTTACAGCTGGGACACTCTGAGGCAATAGTCAGGGAAACCAAGACTTGACTGTACAACACAAAGAGTGCCCCCTAATGCAAACTATGGACTTGCGTTAATAATAATGTTTCAATATTGGTGCATCAGTTGCAACATATGTACCACAAGAATGCAAGATGTTAATAATAAGAGAAAATGTGTGCAAGGGGGAAGGGGAAATAGGAGACTTCTGTATGTTCTGCAAGGTCCCTGGGTGGTGCAAATGGTCTGTGCTCGACTACTAACCTAAAGGTTGGCAGTTCAAATCCATCCAGTGGTGCTGCAGAAGAAAGTCCTGGCAATCTGTTCCTGTAAAGATTACAATAAAGAAAACCTTATGGAACAGTTCCACTCTGTAACACAGAACAGAACCAAACCTCTCCTGGCCCCCTCTTGACTTTTTGAATCTTGGAATTGACTCGATGGCAGTGGGTTTTGGTTTTGGTACTTTCTGCACAATTTTTCTATAAACCTAAAACTGCTCTTTAAAAAGTCTATTAAAAGTAAAACAAAACCAAACCAATCCCCACCCCCCCCCAAGAAAAAACAATGAGATTTAAACACATGAAATTTGAACCCAGTCTCCTGATACCAAGACTCTTTCAACTATACCACACATTGCTATTTTCTGTATCTCGGGGTTCCTTTAAGGGGGAAGAATGTGGAGATGACCTGGCTGGTTCCTATACTGAAACTCTGATCTGATTTTCTCTCACAGCGTGATTCCTGCTGCGTGAGCTGGGAGTTCTCTTTCTGCCCCTTGCATGGATCACTGGGGTACTCCATGGTAAAGACTTGGTTCTGCCACCAATACCTTCTTTGAGGGAACTTCCAGGAAATGCTTGCTGAATGGTAAATGAATAAATGAACACATTTCTCTCTGCACATCCTGCTTCTGTGGTTCATTGGGGGCATGAGTGGGGTGGGAGGTGAAGAGGGAATGTCTGCATGTGAGTCTTCCCTCCTCCAGACATGGCATGCAAGGAAGAGGTTGAGGGGCTGGACAGACGTGTTTGCATCATGGGTCTGAAGGTACTGGCTCTGTGATTTTTGCCAAGTGACTTCATCTCTCTGAATCTCAGTAATTCCTTATTTGCAAATAAAAATCACTTTCTCACATTGTTCTGAGCGTTGGAGTAGGCAGCATGTGTGAAATGAAGAACAATGTTATTGGGCCACAGCAGGTTCTCCAAGACTGGTACATACTTGCTGGCTTCTGAGGTGATTTTGAGTTTCTTTTCTCTCCCAAGACACTAATTTCTTCCATCTTTAAACAAGAATACTACCATGGTGGCCATTCAAGGTATAAAAATTACCAATTTTTGGAGCAACAAAGGAAGAAGGAGAGTCAGGAATAGGAGGAGAAAAGGGAATGTGTGACTACTTGCCTCCATGAACAACTGCCTCCTTTGCCATGAGACCAGAACTGGATGGTGCCCGGCTACAATTACTGAACGTTTTGACCAAAGATTCTATAAAATAATCCTGATCAAAAGGGAGAAATGCAGAACAGAATTTCAAATTCTCATGGAATCCAGCATTTTTGCAGCCATGGAGGCTGGATGAACCCCCAACTATTGCCCGGAGATAATCTTTAAACCTTAAAGAAAAAAACACCCCTGAAGTCTTCTTAAAAGCAAACAATAGTTTAGCTTAACTAGTAAAGAATGTCTGCTTTGAGCACTGTGCTCTTTTAACATCTACCTATATGGGATCAAATTGACAACAGCAATTCGAAAGATTAGATAGAAAACTTAGGGGGCAGTGAGTTTATGTTAATGGGGAGGAACAACTCAGAAAGTGTGGATGAGAATGGTTGCCCAACTTGAAGAATGTAATCAATGTCACTGAACCATATGGGTAGAAACTGTTGAATAGGTGTACGTTCTGCTGTGCATATTGTCAATAATGATAACAAAAAATTAAAATAAATTATTAAAAAAAAAGATACTGCCATGGTGGGTCACATGTATGACATGCTGTTGGGTAATGCCACAGAGTGTGGTGTCATTCTTGATTCTGGGAGCAGGAGGAGTAACAAGAACTTGGCTGTTAGAGCCAGGGGGCAGGCAGGGAACCTCTCTCCACATCTCTCTGTGATCTTTGAACTCTAGAGGAAACAGATAACTTGATTAGATAATGATTAAAAAAAAAGACAAAACAAAATTTTAATTCAGTCCTTTCATGGAAAAGTCACTGGACTAAGCAAATACTCCTGATTTTCTTTAACCAATCTTTCCAGAACAGCAGCTGGATATGTTAAATGAACCATTTCAGAGAAAAGGAAAAAGAGGGAGAGCCTTTTTATTCATTTTATAAGTGTTGTAGCTACCATCTGAGTTGGCCCCCCATGATTCACACACTTCTTGGTATTCACACCCTTGTGTAGTCTCCCCCACACCCCACATCTTTCCAGGGTTGGTCTCTGTGACTGTAATGGTTAAGATTGTGTGTCAGCTTGGCTGGGCCATGATTCTCAGGGTTTA